GAAGTGGATTTTAAACCCTCAAGGACAAATGATCTCGTAATTTGTATGTAGTTTGAGGGGTATGCTTTTTCTTTTTAAAAAATATATAACATATATTATTATGTCGTCACTCCGTAATTATATAAGATTAAACATAGTTAATTAGGTTATAGTCTCCTATTATCCTCGCTCCACAACGATTTTCGTGGAGTGCATGGTATTTTCGTGGATCACGCGTCGTGTTTATTAATGTGTTTGATTGCCTCCTGGACTCCTGGTATCCAGCAACTTCCTGTGGTGCTTGCAGTTGCATGGCCAGACTTTAAGGGCCCCTTTGAATCGTAGAAATAAAAAAACGGAGAAATAGAAAAAACATAGGATTCTAACAGGAATGTAAGTGTAAAACAGAGGATTGCAAAACACAGGAAAAACACATGAATGATCGTTTGATTGGACCACAGGAAAAACATAGGAATAGGATGAGAGAGATAGACTTAAAGGATTTTTACCAAGAGGTTGGACCTCTTGCTAAGTTTCCTCCAAAACCTATATGCAACAAGCCATTCCATAGGAATTTTGTAGGACTTGAAAAACTTCAATCCTTTGAATCAAAGGGCTACATATATAGGAAAATTCCTATAGGATTTCAATCCTATGAAATTCCTTCATAATTCCTTTGATTCAAAGGGGCCCTAATTAGGGCCCAATGCTGGTCATAGGAAGGCATGGAGCCACACAGGACTCTTCTGCACCTGCACTGCATTTGTGGGCAGTCCCTCCTCCCATAACTACACTGGCATGCACGTTCTTCCTCTGAAGTTATGCTTCCTCCTTATTTAATTATGGGTCTTTTGAGGTGCAATGAAGTTGTGGAGCAACGAAAATCCAGCTTCACCCCGTAATACAAATTTACGGAGCAGCTCTGCTAACTCCGTTCTTAAAAAATAAAGAATCTGTACCATTTGGTATAGCTTCAGCTCCAGATAAGTTGGAGTTGGGAGTTAGATACCTAGAACTGTGCTAAACGGAGCCTTACCTTCGCTCCTCCTTTCACAAAATATTAAGGATGAGTAAAATGCACCAGCGGTTCTTAAACTTGTAGGAGGTTTCACTTAGATTCATGAACTTGCAAAACGCACATCGAGATCTCTAAACTTGGTTTATTGTATCATCCTAGTCCAAAGTCGCATTTCACCGTGGTCTTACCTACGTGGCACGCCACATGGACTATGACATGGATTTTTTTTATTTTTTTCTCCCTTCTTCCTTCTTTTTTTCTCTTTCTTCCTACTTTTTCTCATTGGTGAGAGGCGGCATGACGGGAGGGGCTGTCGCGGTGGAGAAAAAAGAAGTTGTGTTAGCTAAAAGGAACAGTACGTGATTATGGAGTTGTGTTAGCTGTGACAGTACGTGATTAAGTTTGCAACGAATTCTCATGTTGGGTTTGGACCAACGGCTGGGAATTTCTCCGACAGAACGATGATGTAGGAGATCGATGGCCTTAATTTGCAATCTCCACAAGGGAATTAATTGAGGAACCTAAGGAATTAGTAGTAGTTTGCAGTTAAAAACGACGTACGGTTGGTTCATACGTAGCACAAATTTCTGCCCCTATATAAGTACCAATCATGCTTTGTACAATTATACTTGCATAGCAACTTATTGTAACCTTCTTTTTCCTTACAAACAGTGGCCTTGAATGTACTATATCTAGCCCACTGGCATTGTCACTGAGCAACAAATTCACTATTCATATAAAATTGTGGCCATAAATAACCACTTTGCTAATCAATTAATATGATATCTAATGAATTATTTAGACTACATTAGCTTCTCTCTCCGTCTTAAAATGTAGCATACTTTTTTCTACAAATCCAAACTTATATATTTCTCAAAATACTTTTGGCTAGAATCTCTACATGGAGAGAGTAGATGACATGTGTACGCATGTCATGTCAGGGGATGCACTTGACCATGGTGGATTTGGGTCTAGTCTTGCCGCCGCCGGCACCGGAGGAGACGTCGACAGGCGCGCACTCCACCGCGACGTCGTACGGCCTGGAGTAGGCCAGCCAGACCTTGAACCTTACCTGTCCTCTCACCACCACGGTGAGCGGAGGGCCTCTGCCGCCGCCGCCGCCGCCATGGCTGGCGCCGAAGAAGTTCTTGTCGACGAGCAGCGCCGTCACGAGCACGCTCCTCGAGCTCGCCGGCGGCTGGTAGAACGGGACGCCATCTTGGACCGTCGCCTCCACCGACTCCATCCTGTTCCTCGCGGTGAACTGCTGCAAGCTCACCGCGAAGGCGAGGTACTGCACCCCGGCCCGGTGGCTGGGGTTGTCGGCGGCGATGGTGAGGTTGAGGAGAAACGCCTGGCCGCCGGCGGAACGGCTGATGGACGCGCCGCCGCCGGTGACCGAGAAGGATATCCGCGTCGGGCTGAGGACGACGGAGGTGACGATGACGATGGCGCTGGCGGCGAGGGTTCCGGCGATGGCCGCCATGATGTAGTGCTTGGCGCCCCACCAGCTTGGAAATGGGTGGCTGCTCGCCATGGATGTCTGCAAGAAATGAAGAAAGTGAAGACAATCCGTGTTTTGCTCACATCGCTAAACTCCTATCTAGTCACTACTCGTCAGTGCTGCTTGTTACTTATTATATATCTTCAAAAAACTATTCTGATGATATCTAAATTTCATACGCCTGAAATTTTTGAACATTTTATTCGTTTTCTGTCACTTGGTTATAATTTAATGGTTTTCATCACTCCCTAATAATTAAACAATAAACTATTCTATAACAAAAGATCCAGGAATTTACATAGAATAAACTTATAACTCAAAATCTACAAAATTCTAAGTCAATTTTTTCTTTATAAAATTCCATAAAAAATTCAAACATATATAAATACAAAATAACATATAGCAATAAAAGTGTAATTACAAATTACATAGCACTAAAGTTAATTTTAGGCTTAGCAAATTTATAATGTTAATTATGTGACTGGAAAATATTTGTGGTTTTCAGGCGACTGGAAATTTAGTCATGGGAATGGGATCGAGTGTGCTGCACGTGTGAGATGTTGTGATTGCGTTTTATTAATTCCGTTTCAACGACAGCGTTCTTTCTTTTACTAATTAGGGTGTGTTTAGATATCATTTCACATCAGATATTTTATAGGATGTCGCAGGGGATGTTCGGTATTAATAAAAAAAACTAATTATTGTATCCGTCCGTAAACTGCGAGATGAATTTATTAAGCATAATTAATCCATCATTAGCAAATGTCAAATCATAGAGCAATTAAAAGATTCGTCTCGTAAAATAGTTGCAATCTGTACAATTAGTTATTTTTTAGTCTATACTAGCAAAAATGCCCGTGCGTTGCAACGGGTGAAAAAATTCAAATGATAATATACGTTTTTCATGAATAATCATGTCAATGACAACGTTTGTATTTTAATGAGTGGCTTGTTTTTTTATAAACGGTGTTTTTTTTGCGCGATTTTCTCAAACCATTCAAAAATAGCACATTTCTTTCTAAAAGGTTTTTTAGCTTTTTTTTTTGCTTTTATACTTACAATGAAAACCATATTTTTCTCTCTTTTTTTTCTTTTCTTTTCTCGTGTGTTTTTTTTGCCTTTTTTTACAATTATTTTCTCACGCGTTTTTTTTGCTTGTTTTTTCTTCAAATGTTCTTTTTTTGCTTTTCTCCAATACAGGACTTAGGGGAAACAAAACTTTTAATTTGTTGTTGTTTTTATTTTTATGCACTTTTTTGCTTTTGTTCTCTCTCTTTTATTATTATTTTTATCAAAAACGACCACAAGTACCTAATTGTAAGATTACAGGGACTCAAATGTAAATATAAAAATTACAGGGTCTCAAATGCAAAATTACAAACCCAAAAATTAAAATAATATAAAAATGGAATGCTCTCGACCAGTAGGTTCCGTTTTTATAAACAGATCTTTAATCCGGCACATCATTTTTAGAAAAAATGCCCGTGCGTTGCTACGGGTAAAAACTTTTTTTATCCTATACCTTATACTCCCTTTATTTTGGACCGGATGCTTCTTTGTTTTTGGACCGGACGTTCATTTCTTCCTTCTTTTCAGCTCTAGTCCTAGAGCAGTCCGCTACCTCTATCTGCTCGGCCTATCTCTCTTCGCCTCAGCCCATAAGTGGAGCTGTAGGCCTAGCTCGAACAATCTCGTGCCCGTACCATGACGGAGCCGAACCTCCCATCAAATCCGGTAATCTGGTCGAGCTCGCATAGTACCGTGTCCGTATGATGGCGGAGTTGATCCTCTCTGTCAAATGCGGTCGAATCTTTCTCGATCTCCAAAATTGTTAGGGATTTTGATCCACTTGATCCCTTTTTTGTTTTTTTTACCAAAATCGAAGCAATCCACAAAACTTGGGGAAAAAAATAATGAACTGAAAGGGAAATTCAAGGGGAAAATGACGAGCGTAGTGGAGAATCGATTTTTGCAATCAATTGGATGAGGAAACACATAAAGATGCAAATCGACATGGCGGCGGCGCTAGGGTTTGGCCCGACGAAAAAACCGCAAAAAAAAATAGCGAAACATAGTTTTCCTTTTTACAATCGTTTTTTGCCGTACTTTTTTTTCCGCCTTTTTAGTAGGAATAGGAATCGGTCAGCTCGCTTTGTTTTCTGTTTTCTCGCTTTTTTTTCCTTTCCTACGGACGACGGAAACATGTTGTATTTTTTTTTCATCAATCAACATGTATGTTGATGAATCGGATTCGTTCCGGTTTTTTTTTCACCCGGTTTTTTTGACGGACGATGGAAGCACCTCTTATTTTTTAAGTAGTATATATATATATATATATATATATATATATATATATATATAGTAGATTTAATATACCATGCATGTGTCCAAACATTCGATGTGAGAGTAGGATCTAAACATGCCCTTAATCAATTTGTATCAGAACAGCAATAGATGTCTATAAATATAGTAGGTAGGCAATAGATGGATCATGGAGTGACGTGGATTATTTCATCCAGCTAACTTTAACAGTACTGTGTGCGGAGTGTGTGTTCGTCATGGACGACGGCAGCAAGCTGCAGCCGACGGCAACAAGGTTCCGGTGGCTGAACCTTGCGCGCTGCACGCTGGCCTCCGTGGTCACCGTCCTCGCCGTCGTCGTCATCGCCCGCGCCGTCGTCGTGCTACTCCGCCCGGAGAAGCTCCGGCTAAGCGTCGCCGGCGGCCGCGTGTCCGTCAGCAGGATGCCGGCGATGAAGCCGCTGCCCCGCGTGAACATGAGCTTCGTCCTCAGGGCCTTCAACCCCAGCGGCCGCGCCTCCATCGAGTACACGGGCATCACCGTCGCGCTCCGGGCCATCGACGACGGCGACGCCGCCTCGCCGGCGGCGGCGGCGCCGATCATCGCGCAGTTCCCGTTCCCGGACGTGCCCGTGGCGCAGCAGGTGGCGCACGAGGCGGCGGCGAGGGTGTCGCTGGCGGCGGCGGAGGACGTGCCTCTCCGGTACGTGAAGGCGCTGTTCGACGGCCGTGGCATCAGCGCGGCGATACAGGTGGACGGCTTCCTCACCACCCGCATGGAGATCGACGGGAGGATCAGCAGGAGCAACGGCGGCGTCGCCACCACGTTCTACTGCCTGCCGGTGACCATCGCCGTCGGCGACGGCGACGACGATGAGTCCCGTACCAGGGACACGTGGTGCCTAGACAAGTCTGACGTACCAGCTTTCGTTGGATAGACCGACGGATCTACTCCCTCCGTCAAAAAAAAAAAATCTAATCTAATATTAGATGTGATGTTTTCTATAACAACAAATTTGGATAGAAGTATGCTCAGATTCTTCTATTAGAAAATGTTCCATCCAATACCAGGTTGAGTTTTTTTAGGACGGAGGAAGTATGTATTACTACATGCTTTTTTTAATGAAAGTATTACTACATGCTTGATGATAATGTTTAATTATAGTATTAGCTAGTACTAGTACTATATACTCCCTATCCGTTTTATGATAATGTTAAGTTATATTAGCCACTATAGAATTCTTATTCAGCAGTGTATAATGGAAGGGTGACATCCAATCAAACACTGCTGTATAATTCTAGCCCACTTCGTTTGGCCCCGAAGTCCATAGCACAAAATTGTCGTGGCCTTTTGTCCTACCAGGCTTCCAGCCCAGCATACACTCCACCGGTTACAGGCTTAGAGCTATAGGCCCAGTATGCAGGCCCATCAAACCCCATCCAGACATTTCCAAGTCAGTATGAAAGGAAAAAGTACACCGAAGGTCCCTCAACTTGTCATCGAATTACAAAATTGTCCCCCAACCACAAAACCAGATATCCATCGTCACTTAACTAATCAAAACCGGTCACAGTAGATTCTTCGGTGGTTTTGACCCCGGTTTTGTTCTACGTGCAGCTGAGTCAGCGTGGGACCCACGTGAGCCTCACATGTTAGGCTGCCACATCGTCTCTCTCCCTTCCTCCTCTCTCTCTCACTCTTCTCTTCTCTTCTCTTCTCTTCTCTTGGGCAAGCCGGCCAGCACTTGGGAGGAGGCCGCCGGGGCGAGGCGAGGCAGGAGAGGAGTAGGCGGCGGGCGACACGACGGCGGCGGCGGTGGCGGAGGGAGAGGAGATGCCGGGGAAGGGGCAGAGGCGGAGGGAGAAGAACTATCGGGCGGCACACGGCGGCGAACCACGGTACTACACGCTTGACACCAAACCGAACAACTCAGATTATCTACAGACTGACATGTGGGCCCGATGGTCTGTGGGGCCCATATGTCAGTGAAACAGTACTGTATGTGCAGTACTGTGCAGAAGACCCTCACTCCAAACCGAATCCAAGCACAAACAAAAAGGAAAAAAAAAAAGAAGGAGAAATTCCACAGCAGATGGAAAGCGAAGTAGTACAGGGTACGCGGAAATCACACGCTGACTGACACACGTACGTGCGTAGTACGGAGGGCGGAATGTGGGCGTACGTGCTGATCTGCTACACAGATCCCTCCACTGGCACCTCGTCGTCGGGGCGGGCGATGCCGGTGTGCGTGGCGAGCGCCCAGAGCATGGTGATGACCTCGATGCCCTTCACCAGCCCCGCCTCGTGCGCCCTCGCGTGCTCCTCCACGCTCGACGGCGCCATGTACGCGACGAGCTCCACCCACACGCCCGCCACCATCTCCCACACGGCGGCGCGCCCCCCCGCGGCCGCCTTGTCGTCGCCGTCGGCTTCCTCCACCAGCAACTTCCCCAGCACGGCGCCCTTCTCCAGCACCGTCAGGCTCGCGTACGCCGCCGCGCTGCTGTCACGGTGGATCTCCGTCGCCGTCAGCCTGTCGGCGATCTTGCGCACCGCGTCGAGCCGGCCCCACTCCGACGTCAGGTAGACGTGGTAGCCGAGCTGTCCGGCGCCGACCGCCACCTTCATCTGCTCGTTCATCACGTCGCCGTAGACGAGCTGCGTGCCTTCCTTGTTGTCCGGCAGGAGCTCCGGCTGGAAGGCGACGAGGTAGGCGCAGTACCTGGACAGCCTCGCCGCCGTCTTCCGGCTCCGCCGCTCCTCCGCCACATGCTCCGTGGGGTGCGGGGGCCCATGGTGCGCCTCCAGGAGGGTGGTGGCGATGTGCCAGACAAGGATGATCTCCGCGACGCCGCCGCCGCCGCCGCCCTGGCACGCCCACGCGAACCGCGAGAACGGCTCCGTCGACAACGCCGCCGGGCTGTTCTTGCTCAGAGGAACGGCGGCGCCGCCGCCGCCGTCCTGCGGCGGCCTGGCGTCTCGGAAGCGTTCGAGGATGGAGCGCTTGGTGTGCTTGGGCAGCTTGGCGGTGGGCAGCGGGAGGGTGGAGACGTCGCTAGAGCATCCAAGAACGGAGAATTGCTTCATGGTGATTCGGCTCGGGTAGTGCCTGAGGTTTCTGGAGAGCTTGAGGACGAAGCGGGCGGCGGCGGGGGGCGTGGCCTTGCCGTAGTAGGCGTGGAGGAGCGAGACGGCGAACCAGTCGGAGATGAGGAAGACGAGGGTCTCGGTGGCCTCCTCGTAGGCGACGGCGATGAAGAGGATGTAGCAGATGAAGACGTCGATGAAGGTGTAGAAGGCCCTGGACGACCTGGCGACGGCGCTCCACAGGCACTTGGCCATGGTGCCCACTCCGACGGATAGGAATGAGCTGTCAGTCAGCATGGCATTGATGACGTAGGGGATGCCGCCATTGCCGCAGAGGACGATGGTCATGAGGCAGAGGGCGAACACGACGGGCGGGTAGAGGACGTAGTTGACGAAGAAGAAGTAGGGGCTCGCGAGCACCACGGGGAGGACGGAGTGGTAGTACTCGGTGAACAGGTTGAGCTCGTCCTTGAGCACCTGGAACACGGTCACCTCCGGTGCGAGATCGCCGGCGGCGGTGGCGTTGCTGCCGAGGCCATCGAAGATGATGGTGCGGCACTCTTGGGCCTCTCGCTTGGTCATGGGCGGCACGTCCTCGAGGCGGCGGCGCAGCAGCTTGAAGAGCGCGAAGGAGAGGCAGAGCCTCTTGAGCTTCGGGTGCTCTCGCGTCCGCCAGATCTTGCCGACGGTGAGGACCTCGTCGGTTTCGGCGACGTCGAGGTCGAGCTCGTAGCCGCGCGGCCCGGCCTTGACGACCATGTTCTCTTCTCCCATCACGGCGTACCTGCACCGCTCCAACGCGGCGGCGCCGGCCATGTCGGTGGGGATGGGGGTGGTGGCCGCCATGTAGGAGGAGATGAGGCGGGGGTTCTTGCCGTGGCCGGAAGAACGCCTGGCCATCTCGTTGATGACGACGCGCTGGACAAGCTTGGCGGCGCAGAGCACCCAGAGGATGCCGAACATGGCCTTCTTGCCGGGGGCCTTGACGGTGAAGAAGACGAGGTTGCCCATCCAGACGACGCTGGCGGCGTGGGTGACGATGTTGGAGTAGCCCTGCGTCCCCCTGGTGATGACGAGGGCGCCCTCCAGCTTCTTGCGGAGGAGCTCGACGAGGAGCATCCATATGAGGATCACCCGCGCCAGCAGCGACAGCTCGTCGGCGGCGACCTTCTTGGCCGTCTTCTTGCAGTTGTTGCTGCCGGCGGTGGCGCCACCGTTCATCTTGGCCTCGGAGAAGAGGTAGGACATGACGGGGAGGAAGAGGTTGAGGGAGGCGGCGAGGAGGAGGCGGACGGTGGGGTTGAGCACGGCGCTCACCCGGGACAAGCGGCTGAAGAGGTTGAGGTCGAAGAAGGCGGCGGCGAGGAAGAAGGTGAGGGCGGAGATGGCCACCACCGACGTCTCCTTGCTGTTGTCGCCGCCGTAGGGTGACGTCATGTTATAGACGAATGCCACCATCTTCTGCGGACACACATGTTCGTCCATGGTGACATTATTCTCCATTACCAATGCTAAGCTAGCTAACTAGCGCCTGTGTTCGTCTATGTGTGTGTAGCTCCCTACCCCTGCCTAGTGTTTCGATCTTGCTATATATATACTCCTGCATGAAGTACTAAGCTGCTGCTAATCTCTATCAGTACACCTGCAGATGGAGCGAAGTGACATCATCCAACTTTGAGTCACTGACATATTTGGTTCTCTATTTGTAACAAACCAATGATAACCTGCCGATAGAGCAGAGTGATATATTTGGGTCTCTATTTATACAACTTTGAGTCACTGACATATTTGGATTTATTATTCAATGGATCCACATGCATAAAATTAGAGTTTAGTAAGTCAGAAGAACTGCTTCCAGAGAGAACACGATAATGCTAAACTATTTTAAAATCTTGAGAATATATTCCCTCATTTATCTAAAAACCATCCAAATAGTTATAAAAAATAATTAAATTTAACATACGAATAGTAGTGGTATTATTCATATCCAAATTTATCCTTTTCATTTCTAAATACTTAGGTCGAGTTTGAACTTTATTTTTATAGAATTAATGCTAGATGATACTATACTTTACATTGTTAGTTTTTTTTTTCAAAAATACAGCTAATTGTATTGAATTTAAGAAAAAAGGATACATGAGGGGACATCCCTTCATGTGCACACAGCACTGCCCTTATCACATACTCAAGGAGATGGAGACCAATGATAAATCTAACATTACAAAATCATATTGAAAACACACCTCTATATGTATAATTAATATTTGTGGTTACACCATAATTTAAATCTTGGTGGGTGAAGTAATATACCCACAAGTACATCTTCTTATAAATTGGTGCATAGGCTATTATTATATGGATATTAATTATAATATCAAAATCATAATTTTATATACAATTTGTTCATTATTTAATATTTATAGTTTATATTAATTAAGAGTTCATATCAGTTACAATAAATTATTTTTGAATTGCAGACATAAATGTTAGACATACTTAAAAACTAATAATCCATGATACGTTCTACTTTATATTTTACTAAATCTAAATTTTAGAGTTACTAATTTTAGAAAAGCTAAAACTATGAGTTCATAATGTGGATTGATCTTACAAGTTTATGAGCGATACACATATATGGTTCACAAAACCGATCACTTGGTTTTCACAAAATACCCTGTCTCGATTTGACAAATTGCCACGTACGTATATCTCTACTGTTATAAAAAATGAAGATGTTTTTCTAGTATTTTGGTACGTCATCCGTGTATGAGTCGGTTTTTAAGTTCGTTCGCTTTTGGAAATACATATTTGTATTTGAGTCGGTTTTCAAGTTCACTCGCTTTTAGAAATACATAAGCAATCATATAAGAAATCTCTTTAAAAAAACTTGCATGCAACTTGAAATGATCGGACTCCTAACTACATCACCTTATGATTTTCAAAAAAAAAAATCCAAGCGAATTCTTATAGTGAATTTCACCTTAACTAAACCATATATAACAATAATAAGATAAAAATAGCCTTCACCCGTTATAACAGACGGATATTTTTTTAGTTATATATAGCTCTCAAATTCAAAAGCATATTCAAACCGAGTTTCAAAATTTGTTTGGTTTAAGTGACAACCGACAACTTCTCATGACTGGTTTTGGACCGGCGAACAGTTTTGTGGACCCTCATGATATACCAACAAAACATTTGTTTAACTTAATTATTTGTTCAGATATTTCCATATAATTAACCAACTAAGCTACATCCGACAAATTAATGAGTAGTGCACATGTCTTACAAAGCGTAAAACTCACTTTCATTAGTTAAAGCTGCCGTCGCTCGTGTATGCACAGCTGCGCAAGCGATTTTTGGCAGGAGAATACGAAGGACCACTACGTGGCGTGTTTCTCGGTCGTTAGTCACGTGGCATCAATATCTGTTTCTTAGGCCCTTTTTAGTTACCAAACAAAAAATTTTGGGTGTAGCTATATTTATGGCGCCATATTTTTCATCAAAAAATAGTCGGCATGTATTTACATTGTAAGTCCCTAAATTATATATGTAATTTTAGTGTATTTACAATGTAAGTATCAAAATTACATATGTAAGTACTAAAATTACATATATAAATTCGAAAATTACATACTAATTACATATGTAAGTGGGGTGTAAATGAGGTGTAACTACTGTGTAAGTGGCTGAAAAAAATCGACTGTAGCATATGACGCCATATTTCTAGCAACTCTGAAAATTTTCACCCTGTCACATCAAATGTTTTGATTAGACACATAGGTCAAGATTATGTATACCATATACCCAATAGTAATCGACTAAACTTGACAGGACCCACCATATACCAAGTCTTATACGGAATCATACCTCGTATATAGAAGGAGTTCCGGATAAGGAAGGACAAAAAGAGTTCTATATGGAAACGACGAGGACTAATCAGATCGTATCCATATTTTCTCTCTAGTTCTACTTGAACGAGGGGGCATCTATGGGTATAAATACAAGCCTCCCCCTAGGAGAGGGGGGTGACACCCACCATAGACACACAATACACAAGCTAATATACGCCAAGACAAGTCACCGGATATCAATATCAGATATTAGTCTAGACATACCCCATCCAGCGCAAAAGGAAGCCGGCAAGAGGGATCTAGCACCATCTCTGATCTCGACGGGTGCGGATTCGAGGAGGAAGACTACCCTGTCGTTGACTACGAGTTGGTTATCTAGCCGCCAATTCGACGACAGATAGATAGGTTATCCCAAATATTGTACTATGTGGTTTCTATATCAATCTCATATAAACAGGATGTAGAGCTATTACCTATTAGATAAGGGGCCCGAACCTGTATAAAAATCCTTGTCTCCATCTCTTTTACCTCAATCTCGTATATACCCTACTACCAACGATCCTCATACTATCCAAATACCCTAGTCGTGACTATCAAACGTCGACAACATGCATGAAGTATTAAATATAAAAAAAAACTAATTACACAAATTGTGTGTAAATTACGAGACGCATCTTTTAAGCTTAATTGTTTCATGATTTGACAATGTGGTGCTACAGTAAATATTTGTTAATGACAGATTAATTAGGCTAATAAATTCGTCTCACAGTTTTTAGACGAAATTTATAATTTATTTTGTTATTAGTCTACATATAATACTTCAAATAGGTATACGTATATTCGATGTGACATACCAAAACTTTTCATTCACGAACTAAACATGCCTTTATTTGTACCTTGCTGCCAATCTAGTGGCCATTTTATTTATATCACGGTCAATCACTTGTCAATCATATTATATCAACAATATATTTATTACTCCGTACATACTAATATTTATTTTGTTATTAAAACAGAAATGATTTTAGTATTTGATTGCTAGCTACAATTTGTCACGTCTAAGATAAGGTTTGACCAAAATGATTGGAGTACTAGTGGGTTGAATGCCTCGGTAAACGTGTGTATATCTTCCTATTCTATATAAGATTAATCATATTTTCTATACTTATCAGTCTTAAAATATAACTATATGGTAAAAGTAAACCTAAATGTCGGCTGAACTTTGCACACCAGGTGAATCATGTCGATCATAAGATGATTGTCGTACGACGTGACAGATCGCGTGATTGACGGCATATGAACAAGTTTTTTCCAGCCAGTATACTCATTGCAATCACTTTAGGGCCTTTTTAAGTCGGTGAAATGAAAAATTTTGGGTGTCACATCGGACGTTTGACCGGATGTCGGAAGGGGTTTTCAGACACGAATGAAAAAACTAATTTCATAACTCGCATGGAAACCGCAAGACGAATCTTTTGAGCCTAATTAATCCGTCATTAGCATATGTTGGTTATTGTAGCACTTATGACTAATCATGGACTAATTATGCTCAAAAGATTCGTCTCGCGATTTACATGCAAACTGTACAATTAGATTTTCTATTTATCTATATTTAACTGTACAATCGATGTGATGTTTTTGGAAAAAGTTTTTTGGAACTGAACAGCCCCTTAATTATTTGGACCGGATAAGGATAAGGGGGTAAAGTTTTAGCGTGTCACATCGGATATAAGGACACACATTTAAAGTATTAAACGTAGTCGTCTAATTAATTCATCATTAGTCAATGTTTACTGTAGCACCACATTGTCAAATCATGAAGCAATTAGGCTTAAAAGATTCGTCTCACAAATTAGTCTTTATTTAATACTTCATATATGCAAGTGTTCAACGTTCGATATGACAGGTTGAAAAATTTTAGGAGGGATTTAAACCGGGCCTAAGCTATAGCTGTTGTGCGTATATTCGAGTATTAAAGTACTCCACAATTCTTGGCTTGCGCGTGTTATATAAGACGATTAAAATTAAAGTAGTTCTTTTACATGCTATCGAATCAGACCCTCTTGGAAACGTGCATATTATTCGTCGCACTATTAAAGTATATTCACATGTACTTTATCCCAGAACAAAAGAACTTGTAGCCCTAGAGAGAAAACCAAAATGTCCCTCATTAATTAATGGGAAGACAGTATTTGTGATTTGTTATGATAATTGAAGAATAAAAATTTTCAAATTTTGGACTTAAGAGTAGAAGAGGGAGTAGTTTTTGGATAAGGCTGCAAGTGATCAGTCAACCCGCGAACCCACTTATATAAGCTAAATAAATAGGCAACCCAGACTTTGCTTTAGGATAAAGTTTAAACCCTAAAAGTTAACTTATTTTAATACGAAATGAATATTACCTAAGAGTTATATATATATGTCAAATCAAGTTTTAATTCCGAATTAATGTCGTATTAGGTTTATATATGAACTTCTTCTTTTAATAGTGCTTATTTTTAATTTCGAATTTTAGTTATTTTTAAATTGTATTTTTATTTGGACTCTACTTTTTTTCCGATTAATGTAGGAATTTTTAGCCCTCACAACGAACGTGGTGCCTTATTTTAAAGTTGTTTTAATAATATAATTAAAGATTATTTGTTCAGATATTTCCATATAATTAACCATCTAAGCTACATCCGACAAATTAATGAGTAGTGCACATGTCTTACAAAGCATAAAACTCACTTTCATTAGTTAAAGCTGTCGTCGCTCGTGCTGGATTTTTCACATTTTGGTCCTTTTGAAAAACTTAT